GGAATCCGCTATGTGGTCCACTTTATCAGAAATGCCTGCGTCTTATTCTACACATCCGAAGGTGTGACAGAAATCCTGACACGGAGGTTCTTCACCGCAGTGACATGTGCGGAATGGTTTGTATGCTGTGAATGCGACACCTGATGGGGCTCGGGCCTGCCCGCTATATGAATTAAACGAAGGTTCCGAAAAAAACTGGTCTATGGACAACTTAGTGCAGGGAAGCGGAACGCAAGAAAGTCGCAGCTACGTTATCAGGACACGGTCAAGTAGAGTTTATCACAAACTGCCATTAACTTTAGGTGTTGGGAAGCAAAACCAGCGGGTCGGCGACAATGGATGGCCAACAAGTAGAATGCGGTGGCGCAGGTGTACGTGAATATCTTGCTTCATACGTAAGAGAAACGCCCTGTACGGAAACGATAGGCGGCGACAGAGTCAAGTCTGTCAACGACCAACATATAGTGCCGTAGTAAATGTGGTCTTAAGTCTTTCGGCAAGGCGGTCTGGTATGCCATCAGAGTAGCCACAATTTGCCAGCATCAGAAGGCGATGAGTAAATTGGATAGGTTTTCATCAACGGCATACATCTTAGTAAGTACGCTGCTCCCGATTCCATATAATAACTTAGGCCACTCATTTGGTCGATGTGACACGTGGATTACAGTATGGCTGCATTTGGTCTGTACGTGTACTTGAGCGTTGATTTTCTTGCATTATAGGTGTTAGTTGTTGATTGAGCTACCCGGTGCGGCTGCGCTTGATGTGAATGTTGACAAGATAGCTACCTGTCGAAAAACCTCCAGCTCGACTAAACTTGAGGCTGGGTGAGGTGGGGTGCACCATCTTCGTGAAGGAGCTGGATTCCAAGGTTGGTTCCATGCTCCAGTGTGGGACTGGCTACGGCCCTGAGTTTATCTGCTATGCATGTTTCTCCCTGTTCAATTAATGATGTGCGTGTTTAAGACGTGTGGACCGCTTCCGAACAAAGCATAGATACTACCTATACATATAAATATATATGCCGTAACGCTAAATCTGTGACTATAATCAGCCGAGGAATTAACAGGTCAAAAGCAGGTGATAGTTGTGCTAGACAATTGGGACGTAGCTACACGTTCGGGAGTTATCAACGAGTTGATCACCGGTTAATAGTTCTCTGCGATTGATAAATATGCATGCAATACCACCAAGCAGCTAGACAGATACGGGTATGTACTATTAAGCACGAAAAACAATGAGTGAGTTGGCATCCATACGTTGATCAAAACATGCCGCATCTGGCGACTTGACATACTGATCCATTCTGTATGATTTAGTTCTATAAGGGTTTCGTCTGATCGCATACACTATCCGTGTGCTTGATAACAGTGTGACGACTGACTACAGATGCAGGGATGTCATTGCGAGTCTGCGTGGTTAGTATCCTACAAGACAAGCGAGGCGTTTTTGAAATGTCGTTTAATCGCTCTGAAACAGCCCTGTTGAGAACATGTTTTGCAAAGCAGCATAGTGCCGACTAGTGTTAGATAAGTGAAATACTTGCTTACTGGCTGAATACAGCAAATGCTAACAACAGAAACAGATGATTATGTCTGTGAATGTAGTAATAATAGTCCGCTGCGATAAAGAAAGCGTTGATTCTGGTAATGCGTAACATACGCATGAGGGTCGGGGAAAAGCCTGACCTACCAGGAAGGACTAGTCGGACTAGAATTAGCTCGCCGTAAACGCACATGGAGTTGCTTCTGCTGGCGTTCAAGGCAGCCGCATTGATGTAACAATCGCAGAAATGATGTAGGAGGATCGCTCCGTGTATATCTCTAAATATAGTGCATCCTCTACATGTGTACATTCGGTGGTAGCACATGTGACGGCACTGTGGTTCTTTCCTGTCGCATTTTAAATCCTACGATTATGTCCTTGAGATGGACGGAGCTAGTCGATTCGGGTGATCGACTTCTCAAAGACTTATCTGCTAATTAAACTAAGTGCTAAAGTCAACTGACTGAGGATTTCCAGAGTTTGTTCTACCATTGTGATAAACAGTAGCACATCGGCCCAACAGACGCCCTGCCGAATTTTCGGTGCTCTTTGTCTGTCCATTCAGATACACGTGCGTAGGGACTGCGGGTTCCTTGACTACCTACCGGAAGGCGAGCTTTTAAACTGTGCCAAATTTAAAATGTTGTATTGTCCCAGTTTACGTGGTGAATGCATGTGGTCTCAAGTTGCAGACGACTGTATGAGTAGGCTGGGACTAGCTGACATCATCGTTACGACACTTGCTAGCCGTTTACTAAATCACATCATCATGTTTTCCACTATCTATCAAGTAGAAATATACTTATCTGATGAACTAACATTTTCTCTTGTTTCCTGTAAGGGAGTGGTTATATTTCCATCTATATTGTGGCCCAGCTAGAGCGCTTTTTCTATTTTATGATCATCAATCTCCTTACCACTCACCTCCGCTGGTTCCATACTGCTGCAGTTCAGTATAGTTGGTGGACGCACTCCAACCGAATTGATCATATTCTGCGGCAGTGTGACGAACGGAAAATGTCTGAGCTCGCTCGATCCAGAAGATGTGTCAGAAGGGGGGTTCGAATGACCCTCGGATCCCAGCCCCACGTTTGAACAGTCCACCGAAAACATCGTCTCACAAGGAAGTGGCTGCTTTGAGAGTCCAGTGTCAAAAGCTGTTTCTAATGTGTTCGTTTGAAGTCGTCGAAAAGCGAACGGCTCCGTGTTGGAAACCGGGGTGGTACGCTGTGAGATTGAAGCGAACGGATATTAACTACGACGCCACATTGATCGATGTGATGAGCAGCCTCGGAATGCCCCGTTGTTGAACGCATTCAGATACTGTAATTTAGCAAACTATAATACCAGCGCTGTGATCCCCAAAAGGGTGGTTAATAGACTGAAAGAACGAAAGAAGCTAAGACATTTGACTAATTTGGCTCAAGATTACTGAATTATTACGTAAAATCTAGTCAACCAATTTCCCATTGAGATATAAACCTTTGGCTGAATAGCCTGCCTGCAGCGGAGCGAATTCAGGGGATCGCGTCAATTGGGAGCCGGTGACTGACTGCTCAGTTCATACGCCTTTGTCATACGGGGGCTAAACGATCCCCAGATTTACAGCACAAAGTTGCTGGAATACAATGCTTCGCCAGGATGAAGCAAGGGGCAGTGACTTTATTTAGTGGCGAGTCACGTCCGCCGTCATAGTGTGTTTAAACGGACATATGTGGCTTTTTATAGGGAGAAGGCTTGCAAGGTGAAAACCCACCACGTCCTGGAACAATGCAGCCGAACCATTTGCTGGAACGGGAATCCCGAACCACCCAGCTGGTACCACGAGGAGGTTGTTCGGCAAGCAAGTCGACGTTTCATGCTCTCCCATTAGGTAAAATAGATAAGTCCAAGTACAGATGTTATGGTATGTAGCAGAAGTATCAAAAATACCGAAAGTCCGACTGTTCGGAAGTACGGATTTCTCCGTGATCTTACACATTTTCTTTCGGAAGCACAACGGATGCTGATGAAAGTTTCAAAGGCTCAAACTGCAGTCATTACATTTGGAGATGGCGTCCGTGGTAAATTTTGTAAATGATCGAAGTCAAACATAAAAGCATTTTGTGTATAGTCGGCATATCGATAGGTCAGCCTCGAAATGTAAGTAAAAGCATATTAAAAAAGGTATAGAAAGTTTTGGTCATCTCTTGGAATTTCTAAGGAAAACGGCAGTATTTCTTGGAATTCGTTGCGCAATGGGAACGTAAGGTTTGACTGTAAGAATATCATGCATTACTGTTTTACATGAAGAAAATAATACAATTAGAGAGCATAGTAGTGGCGAGGATTGCACGTACAAAAGAAGAAATGTATATGTGATCGGGGATCAAAAATGTGTTCTTTCTTCGAGTATGCTGTGGTCAATAGGCATTAGGAACTAGGTACAGTTGAAAAAGCGCTCTCTCTATCAGTATTCTCTCATAAATGGAGGGCAGGTAAAATTTATACGTAACAGGGATAGAAAGATCGGAGATAGTAGCTCGGTTTGCTTCCGCTCTTTAGCTCTCATAAGACGTAAGCATTAAGTACAAGATGGGTTGCGGCTGGTTTGCCGAACAACCTCCTCGTGGTGCCAGCTGGGTGGTTCGGGATTCCCGTTCCAGCAAATAGTTCGGCGGCAGTGATCCAGGACGTGGTGGGTTTTCACCTTGCAAGCCTTCTCCCTATAAAAAGCCACGTATGTCCGTTTAAAAACACTGTGACGGCGGACGTGGCTCGCCACTAAATAAAGTCACTGCCCCTTGCTTCATCCTGGCGAAGCATTGTATTCCAGCAACTTTGTGCTGTAAATCTGGGGATCGTTTAGCCCCCGTATGACAAAGGCGTATGAACTGAGCAGTCAGTCACCGGCTCCCAATTGACGCGATCCCCTGAATTCACTCCGCTGCCTTGCGGGTAGGCTATTAAGCCAAAAACTCGGGGTGGTGTCCCTTAAGTCAACACCCTACTTCGGCTTGGGAAACCGGGTAGTATCTCGCCCTCTGACGAAACCATGGATTTTAATGTATTGTGTTTTCCTTTACAATTTTTGTATCTTTTTTTGTGTTCCATGGTTTCTGATGGTTCCTGTCTATTCGTAGACTGTTGCATGAAACACCCGTAATACAGTGTATCTGACCCTGGTTGGGATGAGCTTCGTGCAAAGTCGAGAAATGTGCCATTTATTTGTTTGGGACAGTGATTTGTTAAAGGGACTTGACATACTACTTGGGACATTTGGCATCTTGGTATGCCAAATTGCGAACAAACTAAATTCGTGAGTTTGATGACTCAAATATCATGTTATTCAACTCATAAAATCAATGGGGTAATTAAACTAATTAATAGTATAGTGGAACAGAGGTGCAATACACATCTCAAATCCGGTGAACCTGCCAGTTGCCATCCGCTGGTTTATTAGTCCGGAGAGGTCAACGTTGGGTTTGCGCATCAACCTGTGGCACTCACAATTTAGCTGAAGCCAATACATCTGGTTCATTGTGCGGGGAAGTAACTAAACACCAGTTCAGTCACACCCACAGACTACTTGGCCGCTATATGTTTATTATTTAAGGCGCCCCCAAAATAATAACTTCAAAACTAATACACGTCACTATTGATATGACACTGGCTTCAGTCAATAGCGGAACCTATCCGCCCTTCCGCTGTTTCCTGTACTTTGATCCTTGTGCTGGAAACCCCTTCGGACACTTTTGTGTTAAACATTTCTGCAGCAACCCACACCGCACAGGATCACCGGGAGTCTTTCAAATTATGCACAGAGAAATTGATATGACCACCTTCACTTGTTCGATATTTCATCCAGATAGGTCATCTCAGTGAATTTATACGTTTCCTCCTCTACAGTCGAGCACTTGACGCAGGTGGTTGGACCGATTTGTCTACAATGTACCCAGCATCGGAACCACTGGGACCGTTTGAGGCAATTGCACCAAATAGGGAATGTGTTTAAAGTGAACAGTCACAACGCAGTTAATTAACAGTGGTCCAATCCACCTAAGTTATTCAGTCCGGGTAGTGAGAGAGCTTGCAATGGCGAACGGAGTTTGTTGTTAAGCACCCTGGTTTCTGTTTAAGCGCTTTCGCTAAGTAGAAGCAGTCCTTTTTGCTGCTGGAGTGCAATCACTAGCAAAGTCATCTTTATAATCTTATTTGTGCTACTATTGTGACTATTAGGAATGCACGTATGACACTTAAATCAAACTGCATGCTTACCTGGTTGACACCGAGGATAGTTGACAACAAAGACTCACGAGACACAGTAGGGATGTGCTGAGGTGCTGCTGTCGGAGACAGGATGCGATTGGGAGCCCGTTTTGCATAATTCTTTAGCTTTGTAGATCCAAATTTGGTTTGAGCAAATGTTGCCGCAGTAAAACTTGGCGTTGATGTAGACTTTTGTACAAATGGATTCGCCGCATTCGTTATCAACGTCGTGGGATAGACGGAATTCACTCGTACTTGTGGACAGCCAAACAAGGGGTGAACCTGTTGTTCGAACCTTGACGAAAACTGAGGGATGGTAACACCAGTCCAGCTACTGTTGTTTCCAAACACAGCACAGTCGCGCCCACAGTTTGTATTCAGTTTTTCTATGTGCTGAAGATCCGATGATGATTTGTTCAAAAAAGCAAGCGTCTGTGATTCTTCATTCTTTATATGCGGTCCGTTTGACCTGGTACATCCCATTATATCAGAAATGAAGGGCGAGATTGAACAACTATCTGACTCCTTTTCTGATTGTCCCCACGGTAGGTTAGTGTTGAACTGATCTATCTCATACCCACTGGATAGTTCAAGCTTTGATGACTCCATGCTGTTAAATCCTGTATCATTTGCATGATATTCGGCATTTACGTCAAGACTTCCTGGCCTGGAGGACATCGTACCCCACAAATTCTGCGTGGCGAGGGACGGTTTGGTAGTCTGAGTTGACCGGCCCCCCGTGTTTGCTGTGGCATTATCTTCAGCATCCACAAGAACACTCAAGGCTGCGGCCGTTGCTAACTGATCTCCGTGCTCTTGTTCTACCTTCGCGCTTCGGATAGCTACTTCCGGCAACTGCTTCTCGTGGTCAGTCGTCCAACCTTCTTGGATGCAGTAAAGTACATGATGTACCATTTGAACGGAAGATGACGCCAAACTGGTAGAAGAATTCGAGGAAGCTGATGAACATCCAGATGAAGAAAGTGAAATTGAGGATGGCCAATGAGTGTTTGAGGAATATCGGTTAAAATCGTAATTTGTATGACTTGTCTGTTGATACTGACATGCTACATACCCTGGGTCCACGTTGAGTAATAGTTTCTCTGGTAAGCAGGCCTGGATTTCGCTCCAGTCTAGCCCACTCACAATAGCTGATTCTGAAAACAGTGGGTCCACGTAGGCGCCCGAAGCACTAAGGCAACGGAAGTTAGATTCTCTTGCCGGCTCATTTGGATACCAATGGTGCTGGAACTTAACACAGAGATGTTTTTCCAGCTCCTCGCCAAAGTTATCTACTCTTCTCCTTGGGAGCTTTGAATATAAATGTGAGAGTATGTAGTTCACAGCAACTGATACTTCAACAAGCATCGCAGTGTGCAATATATGGTTAATTCCCAGAGGGATGCATCACTACTGAAATGCAACAAGGGTGTAAGGCCTGTATGGAATCAGCAAAGTTTATCGACTTGCTTTGTATCGAAGATGTGATAGTCAGGATGGCTGAATAACCTTCAGCTAATATTTTTAGTACTGCACATATGATAGAAAGGCGGGTGATGCAACCTACAGAACGCCACTCGTCATCCGAATGAACGATCAGCAGTCAATAGAAAAATTGATTTGTGTGGCGACTATTTCAAAAGTCCAGGTCCTTTGCTGGGCCGTATTTGTCTCAGTCTGCGGTTGAGTTGCAACTTTGTCACTGATCCTTGTTTAGCCCATCACCTTATGGCAGAGTTGATGATGGATAGCAGAAGCTTACACCCACTAACGTGCTTTTTAGACATCTATTGGACGAATGGTCGATCGATGCTTATCTCTTTTCCCAACCTACCGCACCGGTGATTGGCTGTTACTGCCGGGTATCTGGGTATGGAACACCCTCGCATCCACGTAGAAACTGCTTTGCCACTCCCCACACCCACGCTCTGGTCACCTTGTGAATGAGTGGAACTGTCACGCCCCTTCGTTGAGAGGCGAGTTGGATGGAAGCCACATTCGTCTTCGGTGAAATCGATGTTGCAGAGTCGTTGGGGTTAATAGTCAGTAAAAAGCCCGCACAAGTTAACTTATTTCGGTGGCAAGTATTCGTACAGAATTGATTAAGTTCTGGTTAACATTTTTGTTCTAAACACGGCGAACAGCTATCCTAGTATCACCATATGTCAACTAAGGTTTCTCTAGTCTGATTACATCCCGACATTAGAAGAGATAAGATTAACACGGGCTGTTCTTTCTCCGCCTTTGCCACTGCGCGACAAATGCTTGTGTCAGTTATGTCCATTTAAATCTACTAAGTCTTACAGAGATAACGGTGACCTAGTCCCTAGATTAACGGTGAACTATGTCTTTCGCATAGACCTAGTGCTTTCAGATGCGGTCGATTTTTGTGAGGCACAAGTAGGGTTAACCAAGTGAATGTTGCTGTGATTATGGCGGGCTGTTCGAACTGCAAAATAAATCAACAGAAGGCAATCGGTGATATGAATCGCACAAGTTTAGTCGCTCATATTCGCCTGAGGATCTATTTCTACTTTGTCGTCGCCCACGAAACGACATAACCTGAAGCCGTTGTCTATAGAAAGCCAAACACGCAATTCTGAACAACGTCGGGCCATTTTTGTACCCAGGGAACATGACTAATTTACTGTGTAATGAAGTTGTATTGAAAGTTGCTACCACGTGAGTTGCTCGTCTGATGGTGAGCACGCCAGATTCACTTGGTTAAGCTAAACCTTATATACACAGATCAAGGCAGTGGCGTGCAGACGGAGCATAAGCCGTTATCTCGTCCATCGCTCGTTCGTCGACTTTCATTTCGCAGTGTTCAAGCCCTCCGGTATGTTTATCGAACGAAAGCTAAAAAGGAAGTTATATCTCAGATAAATACGGTGAGCAGAATGTCGGAAGATGAAGGCTGTCCATGGTATACAGCAGCGTCAGCATTCTGACGATCAAGAAACGGAATCGGTTTGAAGAACTAGCACTTCCTTCATTCAGCATGCTCCGTCAGCTGTGTAAACGCAAACTGCACCCAAAAGTGCCCTTATAACCCGACCACAGAGAAAGCGGACCATTGGTATTAAGTTGCCGCTAATTCCAGGGGCGCAAAACGATGATTGGAATGGGGAATCCGTTCCTCGATATGTTGTCCTTCGAGGAGCGTTCAAAGTAGTCAAACCATGGGCCTTAGCAACTGAGAAAACATGCCTTCGGGTAAGTTCGCTAACGTTTCTCCTAAATTTTACCCCGAATAAGTGTTCAGTGGGGCCCAGCGGACAGCTTCAAGAACAACAGGCTAATTACCATCTGTATGAATTGGTGGTAAAATTTGTGACATCTGATACACCCATCCGAGGTAGCTCCTGGAAGAATTCAGCAGTTTATTCAAGAGCGATTGTTAGCTTACCTCACAAAAAGTACTATTTGCTCACTTCCAAGGCTCACACTTTCAGGCCCGCTTTCAACAGCTGAGGAGATCAATTGTTTGGACATCAGTGTGCAAATTGCCCTTTTACGGACCCAAGTTCGAACTCACCAGCCCGCAAGGTTCTGAGACATTGTCATGGTAACCAAAGCCTAGATAATTGAGTGAGTCACTGACAGTATGTTTACCGTACCTCGAAGGTCTCCGCTGAATAAATGCTAACCAGACAGAAGTTAAGCAATTCTGTACCATCACAGCAGCGTGCACGTTAAGCGGCATACTAAACCAGGAGTTCAGATTTTTGACTCGTTTTGGTGCAACTTGAATCCATGATGCGGTGATACATGCCTATTGGCTATCGTGTACGGTACAGCAAACCTCGTCTAAGAAAAGCTATCTCGTCCGGATTCTGTTAGCACAGTGAGATGTCCATTCTTCAAACTCACATCCTCCTGTCAGCAGATTTCAATTTGAACTCCTCAGAAGTCTCAACCTGTTTCCTTAAATAACTCAACGTAGATCTGTAAGATATTATCTCTGATTTGCAATGTCACAGATATAGTACTTCCCCAGAGAAAGTGCAGGGCGTGTATTCATCAAGTCCTCTGGGGTCTAATCTTCGTGAACAAAGAACGTTGAATAGATGTAACCTTAGGAAATAATGCTTTAAGATGACAGATCAAATGACAGGGTTATTCAGATGTGTTTGTCACATGGAATCTTCTAAGAGGGACAGTAAAAATCCACGTTGTCACAATCTAAGACATTCGTTTTGATCCAAATTAAGCAGGCAGTTGGTCATTATCTATTAAAATATCCTCCGATGTCTCCCGGAAGGAATTCACAAACTAGTTCAGCCAAGTAGAGAATATCTGAAAGCAACCTTGTTAACAAAATGATGATATCATTCGATGCCCAGTCACTGTTCACAAACATTCCATTGCTCGAAACCCTGGATTTCGGATGCGAGCTTGCTGGGCAACTACCCATATACACAACTTTTCCCGAGGATTTTGCTAAAGGAGGTGCTACTTCGTTGCACCTTAAATGTTCAGTTCACCTTCAATGGTGAAATGTACAGTCAGATTGACGGAGTGGCCATGGGATCTCCTTTGGGGCCGCTGCTGGCTGATATATTCATGGCGAAATTGGAACCTGCCCCACTTGCAACGCACATCCGTGAAACCGAAATGTACGTACAGTATGTGGATGACACCTTCGTACTTTGCAAATCCGAAAAGCATGCGGAACAGTTGCTGAAAGCTTTCAATGACGCACACGATAATCTTCATTTCACTTGTGAACACGAACGCAGAAACCGGTTACCTTTCTTGGATGTAGAGATTATCCGTATATCAGACGGATCATGCAGCAGAAAGGTACACAGAAAACACACATGGACTGAGCAGTACACTAACTCCCACAGCGCAGTGCCACTACAGCACAAGCGGAGTTTAATCAGATCGCTCGCCTTCAGGGCGCGCAGTATTTATACACGAGATACCGTCAACGAAGAACTACAGTGAATCAGCGACGCTCTCAGGGAAAATGTCTATCCAGATAAATTTATCATAAACATTTGAAGGAACGTAATCGAAAGCCACCTAGAAGCATTGCTCATAAGAAAGAGCTTTTCATCCATTTACCCTTTAGGCGTGAATCTGCAGCTGATATGTTATCCAGACGCCTGAAAGATGCTGTCGAGAAAACTTATTTCGCGGCCCGCCTGAGAATTGTTTTTCACAATAAGCCGTTGCTTACAAAACCCTTGAAGGATAGACTACCGCCGTTGACCCATTCAATGATCATTTACCAGTACTCATGCTCCTGTGGTGCACGATACATGGGTCGCACGACGAGGCGCCTATCTCAGAGGATTCGTGAACACATCCCGGCATGGTTTTACAGAGGCGAAATGAAGTCTTCAGACAGCTCAATCATGTCACACCTCCTTGAATGTGGCCATACAGCTTCAGAGAATGACTTCAAAGTCATTTACTCACTACCTGAACACTTCTCCCAAGGATTCCGCAAACAGCTCTTATCCATCGCCGAGGCTATGTACATACACCATCTGAAGCCGGAATTATGTGTACAAGAACAACTCATACGGCCGATACTAGTACCTTGGCCAACGGACACTGTTACTTAGTTATTTGGTTGTTATCTTACCTACTTAATTACTTTGGACTACTGAGTTTTGCGTATGCATGTTTATTTAGTCTACTTGGTCTACCATCGCTATCGCTGTCTCAAGTTATCGATTTTGGTCATGCAAACCGTCAAGAAGTCAATCCCAGCCCCAGTTGACGCTATCTCCACAATCACTGTTATGTAAACGTTTGGGTCCGATGAGAGTTACCGAAAAGAATTCTTTACCCTGAAATGATTTCTGATATAGAAACCATTCTCCCTACTCGAATAGGGTATGGTCGTCCGCAAGGGTGGGAATCTGAAGTGTATCCTCATGCAGAGCTCATTTCCGAGAGCTAACAAATGCCCACAATAGTCCACATTTGGGGAATCCATAGGGGTAAATGTAAACATGGTATCAAACTGGCTCGTAAGCATGCATTATAGTTGTAACAGGCTTTGTTAGCAGAGGATTGTTCAAGTTCTAAGCTGTCTTAAAAACATGTAATTGGTCCGTCGGTGTGTGTCACGGAATCTCTGCGTTACCCACAACTGTAAAAATGCAGTTAATTGTCTCCCATTTCGCTTCACTACTAGCTTTCATGGTGCAACACCGTCCAGTATGCTTGTCATGTACGTCATACCAACAACATAGTTTCGAAACGTAGCTCTTGCAACTAAAGTGGTCGATATCGTTACTCTACGCAGCTTCCTTCATGTGAGCCGCTCTCCCCCAGTGGCAATGAAAGTGGCTGACATCAAATAGACGCTGCGCCTCTGTCGCACTTTTTCTGTCGATGATTCGATGACCTACAAGCTTCCGCTGTGTAGTAACATATAATACAAAGAGAGCAATCGCTTTGTGCTATGAAAGTATCAGCTTAGTATTCTCCCTTCAACAACTTCCAATCTCATAAGGGCTCTCATTGTAGTTTCACTCATGTGGTCAGACTTGAGCTATGATGTCAATGTACATGTGAAGCACGTATTCTACTCTTCTCGGCTATGCTTTATGAGTCAGTTAACGGTCCAGTGCAAACAAACATCGATTGTGCGAAATTTCAATCGCAATGAGCCTGGACCACACTGTGGTGCGATGGTTTGTGTGCCTCAGTGATCCATTGAGCTATGCTGGGTGGTGCTTTTTTACATCTTCAGAGCCACTCATACCAGATTG